CAGTTGACACCAACGAGTAAAATCTTCTTGTGCTTCAGGACCCCATAGTAACAACAACGAATGTGCTAAATTATTAGCAGGAGTAGAAAACTGCAGTAGTTAAAAAATTACAGCCTATATATTGTCAATGTATATAAGTTAAATTTAAAAACAGTGATCTAACACAAGATATAGTGGAATATACATGTAATAACTTACATTGGGAAGATTGCTGCAACTTTTGGAATCCTTACAATTATTTTGATCCCAAGCTTGTTTACCTTGGCCATCAAAAACACCACCACCAGAAAGTGTGAAACGATCAATATAATTAACAGTTAACCATTCAACATCTGCATTGAGTTGTTTAGGATCTGAAGGAGCTTTCAAAATGGCTTGAACTTGTAGCTCAACTGGTGCTTTGCATGGACCTTGTAGTTTTACTTGATTCATTTGATATGTACCTTTTGGTATTACTATTGTACTTGGGCTTGTTGCTGCACATGCCTCTTTAAATGCATCTAACACAGCCTGTAAATTATAATTTCTGTTAGAGGCAAATCTACTGGTAATCGAAAATTAGCCAGCGTTTGCAAAGTCATTGAAAAATAACCACTATTTTAGCTGAAACGTGAAAAGTTCCAATATAATATGCTGAATTATGGAACTCCTATGTTTAAACTTCCAGCATATTATGTTGAAACTCCAGCACATTATGTTGGAATCTCATATGTAAAAAATTCAAACTCCGGCATATTATGCTGAAATTTTTCCGGATTTTTAAGAGTGTTTTTGTTCAGATTTTATCTTTACATGAAAAAGTGGCTAAATTTCGATTACGTTTGAACTATGGATATTTTTTAATTACCAGTTGTAAATCGGGCTATTTCTAATTTATTTTTTCCCGGATTCAACAGAACTCACTACTTTCAGCTCGAAACGCCTATACATATGCAAAAATATTTCGAAGCATAAACATATATTAGATCACATTCATTCTTAACCTGTTGACTTTAAATCTTGGATTCGTCTCTAGTCAGAAGGAAATCAATTATATGGTAAAAACGCATGATTTACCTTACTGATATCTCCATTAGTTGTTGCACCATATTTGGTTACGTCAAAGACTTCTGGCGAAGCTGTTGGCTGAGCGTCTCCAATTCGTGCTAAAAATAATAATAAAAATGCAAACGATGTAAATTTTAATTCCATCTTTTTTCTTCTTTTTTTTCCTTTTGTATATATTTTATTGCGTTATTGTGTTTTTTTTTTCTTCTTTGGCTTTTGAAATGGTAAGTGAAGGTTGAAGCCCTTATATAGTGTCATCAAAATGAATTGAGACCATCAAATTTCTACCAAAATGGTAGAAATTTAGTGGTTCATTTGAATTAGTCTTCTATGGAACGGATGTTTAAGGAGGAGGATTAATTAGGGAAATTAAGATCCAAGAAAATTAATTAGATTGTGTTGAAAATTTCAACACCATCTAGCCAAAGAGCCAAGTTAGAATCTAATCCTACTGAATGACTTGATTTTCGTTATTTATCAACCATTTTAGAAACAGAAACTAATTTATTTATTTTTGGCCTTTATTTTTTAAGAAAAAAAGAGAGTAGAAGATTGTAGAAAAAAATATTTTAGTAGTTTATCTTTTCAACTGAGGAAATACTCCCTCCGGTCCACTTTAATTAATTTTTTGGTTATTTCACCCATATTAAGCTAGCGTTTGGGTGAAGTTTGGTTTGAAGATGAAAATGTGTTTGGACATAAGTTTTAAAAACATATTTCTTTTTTTTAAAAAAACATGAAAATGACTCATATCCATACGTTCTAAAAACTATCACAAATACCCAACAGTACCTTTATCAATAACATTCATTATATTATCGCAAACCATAGTGCTGGACATAAATAAATTTGGTACAAAATTATCATTTTTATAATGAACTACATAATACACTATCAGATGATCGAGAAGACGAAACAGCGTTGTTACAAAATAATAAATGGTGGGTCTTTTATAAAATACAAAAGTTTGGGGCAATTTTTAAAAAATATAATAGTGATATTTTGGGCCAAAACCAATTCTTGAGCTGATTTTGGGAATTTGCCAAAATGTAGATAAAATCTATGGCCAAACATGTATTTGTCAAAAAAATTCCAAATATATTTTGGCAAAATCTATGGCCAAACGGGTCCTTAGTAATCTATCTTTTAGTATTATAACTAACAATAAAATTCACCATATTAACCTTAATTTATTTATTGAAAATGTAACAAATTCTCATAGGCTCTTTACTTCAAGGGCAACTTTGGAAAAGAAAAGATAATTCCTTCTTGATATGAAAGAATCAAATATTATGGACCACAAAAAAAGGCCAAAAATAATTGAAGTGGACCGGGGGGAGTATTTACTAGCCAACAAATGTGGAAATGACACCAAATAGCTATTTTTAAGTATGATGTTTAAAATATACCCACCGTTTATAATATATTTAAAAATTAGTCAATTTTGCTCAACTTCAGGACATGGTGTCCTAGAGTTTAAACCTCAAAGGTTCAAACTTCAGGACGTCGTGTCCTAAAGTTTGAAAATTGTGTCCAGAAGTTCGAATGTTATGTTCTGAATTTCCAAATTTAAAATACTTAGTCCTAAAGTTTCGGTGAATTAGTTAATCTTTAAATACATTATAAATTATAAATATATTTTAAATAGCGGACTTAAAATGGTTATCGCTGCACTTCGCCCCCCAACAAATTAACTAAGTTCCTACAAGTTGTCAATTCTCTTCAAATTATTATAGCCTCACTGGAACAGTAATAATTTAATATTTTGAGACTTTTAGGTACTTCTTCAGGTTATACTATCTCAACTGTGCCCTGTTGATTTTGATATAAAAAAAAAAAAAAGAATCTAATTTTAATAATGTTTGAAGTGTAATACGAATTGACCATTAGTATTATTTGTGATCTTCAAATTTCTAGATTGTACTCCATTCTTATCAAAGGATAGCACCTTGTTTTAATTTAAGCGTGTCATTGTTTGTATAATTGTGGTCTTGGAGCACGTCTTGTTTTTAGGCAGAAATTTAAAAATAGCCAGATTTACAAGTGGTCATTCAAAAAAAATCACAGTTTTAAAAGTAATAAAAATTTAGCCACTTTTCATGTAAAGATAAATCTGAAAGAAAATACTGTTCAAAATCCGGAAAAATACTCCAGCATAATATACTAGAGTTTGGAGCACCGGTGCTCCAGTCTCCAGTATAATACTGGAGCCAGCAAAGTATACCAGTCCAGCATAATATGCTGGAAGTTTATACACAGGTGCACCGAACTCCAGTATATTATGCTAGACCGGTCTCTATTGCAGCAAAATAGTGGTTATTTTTCATTGACTTGGTAAATGCTGGCTATTTTTGAATGATCAGTTCGAAAACTAGCTAGACCGTGTTATTTTAACTTATTTTTATTCTGTCATTTTATCTAGTAGAAGGGCAGCCAAGTGCACCATAGTATTCTGCATCCATGTAGGATCCAGGAAAAGACGTACTCCAAAGATTGCATTCACGGCTTGAACCCATGACCTATCGGTCATACAGAAATATTTTTACCATTTTAAACTTGGTTGTCACGACCCATTTTCTGAACAAGCCGGGACCGGCACTCGATCACTAAATATGATCGAGCGAACCATCTCTGCTTATCAAATCTATTATAACTCCAAACTTTATATGCAACAAGGAAATACTCTAACCAAATACTTTTGATTAATTTAAATATTTAAATAAATCAACTCCAAAACTTTATTCGTAGTAACTACTGAATTACTGCTAATTTATTATCAAAATCATCTGAATCTTAACCCAACGACTATGTCTATGAAGCCTCTACTGATAAACTGACGCACTGCTCATGACATGAGATTTCCTGGTCAGTTCTCTAAGTAAACAAAGAAATAACTAAATAAAGATGACTCTAAGGAATACTCCACGAACAAAAGCGGAGCTCACCAATAGCACTGGAAGAGAAGGAAGTCCTAACCAGCAGCCTGCTCGCCTGCAAAATCGGTTCCTACGTTGTACCGCAGACCAACGTAGGTTCCCAAAAGAGAACGTCAGTACCATCCATTGTACTCAGTGAGTCTCAACAACAGGGGGAGAAACTTTAATAACATATACATTATGAGTAAAAGTTCTAAATGCATAAAAACATAAAGCTTATAAGAATAATTCTAAATAATTGCATAATAGCAGTTTATGAATATTCTAAAAGAAATTCTTTTCTTTTTCTTTCTTATAAAAAAATACTTCACTTTATACTTTGGGAGTTCCAACTATCCTGACTTAATTTTGTCTCAGTCACCGTATGATCGGCACGGGTTCGATCCCAACCTGATCGAATAGGCCCAATCCACGAGGTGCCACTCGCTTCATGGTTCTCAGCGCTCATGTATCATACCTTAGCATGACTAAGTAAATTCTCAGCAACGAAACCACCGGCTCGTGTGCTTCCCACTTTGGCACAAGTAGTTTCAAGAAGTCAACGCCTTGGTCAGGACCCTCGACCTGGATGATGAACCCCTTGTCATGACCCAATCCCCGAACCCGGTCGTGATGGCGCCTCTCGTGAAGACAAGGCCAGCCATACCAAAATGGAACACCTC